ATCCAGTCCTTAGGTGCTTTGGTTCCATCTTAAAAGCCGTTCAACTTGACTTCAGAAGAAAAGTTTGGAGGTAAGTCAGGAAAGAAGGGGCCCCCATGGCTGGGGGTGAGGAAGTTAGGGGTGTGTTCTTAACGCATCCCTGTGGGATTGAGGGACTTGGAACAGGCTCCTGCTCGGAGCCGTTCGGAGAGCATCTGCTTGGACAGTCTCAATCCCAGAACTCCCAGCTGCATTTGGGCTGAGCCTCTGCCCCCCCTGCCTTAGCTGAGAGGTCCTAGCTGGTTTATTTAGGCAGCTGCCTGGGGTAGTTTGAACAGAACAGGCCACAGAGTGGGAGGGGTGGAGGGTGTGTGTGTGTGCATTGCACAAGGGGCCTTGTCTGGACCAGGGCAGCAAAACATACCTATGGGGGGCTCTAGTGGGAGGGGCCGTAGCCAGGATGTGGGAGGGCAGAAGGGAGGTTCTGTGAAGTGCTGGGGGAGGGGGGTGACTGGAAAACAGATTTCAAGTCATAAAGTCAGCTAGGAACAGGCCGAGGCAGAAAGAGCTGTGTGCAAAGGAGAAGCTGGGGTCCACTTCCATCCTGTCTTCACCCTGTCTGCCTGCACTACCTTGGCAAGTCTCAGCCCTCCTCTGGGCCTCGGTTTCTTCTCCTATTGGGGGGTGAGGGTGGTGGGCTAGATGGTGTTGGATTTCGGCTGGGTTATGTGAAACAAGGCCTTCTAACTGGGAGAGTTTGGGCAGGGATCTGAGGAGGGACAAGTCCTTTCCGTAAATCCTTAGGCTCACCCGGGTGGCATGCCCTTCCCCATAGGACGTACCATGCGGGCACTGTGCCTGCTTTGCTGGGCTGTTCTCCTGAACCTGGTGCGAGCTTGTCCAGAGCCCTGTGACTGTGGGGAGAAGTATGGCTTCCAGATTGCAGACTGTGCTTATCGTGACCTAGAGGGTGTGCCACCAGGCTTCCCAGCCAATGTGACCACACTGAGCCTGTCAGCCAACAGGCTGCCAGACCTGCCAGAAGGAGCCTTCAGGGAAGTGCCCCTATTGCAGTCGCTGTGGCTGGCACACAATGAGATTCGCTCCGTGGCTGTCGGTGCTCTGGCCCCTCTGGGCCATCTCAAGAGTCTGGACCTCAGCCACAACCTCATCTCTGAGTTTGCCTGGAGCGACCTGCACAACCTAAGTGCTCTGCAGCTGCTCAAGATGGACAGCAACGAGTTAGCCTTCATCCCCCGGGATGCCTTCCGCAGCCTCCGTGCCCTGCGTTCCCTGCAGCTCAATCACAACCGCCTGCACTCATTGGCCGAGGGCACCTTCACGCCACTCACTGCGCTGTCCCACTTGCAGATCAATGACAACCCTTTCGACTGCACCTGTGGCATCGTGTGGTTCAAGACATGGGCCCTGGCCACAGCAGTGTCTATTCCAGAACAGGACAACATTGCCTGTACTTCGCCCCATGTACTGAAGGGTACCCCACTAAGTCGCCTGCCACCCCTGCCCTGCTCAGCTCCCTCAGTGCAACTAAGCTACCAGCCCAGCCAGGATGGAGCAGAGCTACGGCCTGGCTTCGTGCTGGCACTCCACTGCGACGTGGATGGACAGCCAGTCCCCCAGCTTCACTGGCATATTCACACCCCAGGCGGCACAGTGGAGATCGCCAGTCCTAACGTAGGCACTGATGGACGTGCCCTGCCTGGCGGCCTTTCAGCCAGTGGGCAGCCACGCTTCCAGGCCTTTGCCAATGGCAGCCTGTTTATCCCTGACTTTGGCAAGCTGGAGGAGGGCACCTATAGCTGTCTGGCCACCAATGAGCTAGGCAGTGCTGAAAGCTCTGTAAATGTGGCACTGGCCACTCCGGGTGAGGGGGGAGAGGATGCAGTGGGGCGCAAGTTCCATGGGAAAGCAGTGGAGGGCAAGGGCTGCTATACGGTTGACAATGAGGTACAGCCATCCGGACCGGAGGACAACGTGGTTATCATTTACCTCAGCCGTGCTGGGCCCCCAGAGGCTGCAATAGCATCAGAAGGGACGCCTGTGCGGCTGCTCTCAGGCATACTCCTGCTAGGCCAAAGCCTGCTTGTTCTCTTCCTTGTCTGCTTCTAACTACACTCTGCCCTGGTTGGCTAGAGCCTTCCTAACTCCCCCCGACCACGTTCCTGCCAGTGTTCCTTCTCAGCACCATGAGGTCTGGAATTGGTGAGGTCTGAGGTTAGCCTACCGCCTTTTCTAAGCTCTTCCGGGCTACCCATTACTCGAACTTGCAGATCTGCTCAGAGCTAGCAACTGGGATATCCTAGTCTCTAGTGCTAATTACTGCTGACATCACTGCCTGTGCTCCTAGCAGGGGCAGCATGCTAACAGGGCAACAACAATGCCCTGACCTGACCCACTTTGAAAGTTCTAGGCACGGAGATAAGGAGCTTGTGCAGGCCGTCCAGGTAGGCACTGGGGCTGGGGTGGCCAGTACAGGATCTGGAAAGGAGGTACCACAGGCTATGGCTGGGGAGGCTAAAAGCTCCCTCTCTCCTCATGATGCTCTCTGATGAGATATGGAAATCATATCTCATAGTTCATGACTGGGCCTTTCACTCTTCTCACCCCAAGTCTCACAGCTTGTGCCTGCCTCTTGACACACTTGCTCTTCCCGGCTCTCCAAATATGCACCAGTTGCCTGCTCCTCCCAAGAGGCTAGCTAGTCTGGGTAGCAGAAAAGAAAATTAAATAAACAGCATTTCTGATGCCCCACTTTCGTCTGTTTGGAATTCTGTTGGGAATCACAGAATCTTTATCAGAGGATGGGATGGCCATATGTCAGTTGTGCCAACACAAGACAAGGACCCAAGGACATATGTGCAGTATTTCAGGTGGCACGGGAGGGGAGCCCAGACTCATTACTAAGCCTTAACATGAGCCAAGCTGCAGATTTTCTGTCTTCAAACTAGCTCATGGGACGAGGGAGATGGAATCCTGAGGATTGCTTTCTGCATTTTGGAAAGGGTTTGTAAGGTGATCGGAAGGTCTGGGCTATAGCCCCAAGAAGAGTGTCAGGAATAGAGAAGGTTATGACTGGGGACATATGAGGCAAGAAGAAGGAAGGAGAACGCAGGATGGGAAAGTAGGGGACAGACACAAGGAAGAAACTGAAGACAGGAGGAAGGAGGCAGGGGATAACACAGTGCACTCAGGCTCTCTCTGTATGGATGTTCCAACAGAGTAGAAGCCTCCCACCTGAGTAGGACTGGGACTTGGGGATTAGCCAAAGCGGTGAGGCCGTGGATAGTTCTGCCAGCAGAGATGCTGCAAGACTCCAGGCCTGTGCTGGGTCAGAGGTGTCTCCCTAATCTCCGCCTTTAAAGACTGGATGTATGCTCTTAGGGATGATGACTTTCAGGGGAAGGCCTGGCCTCTTTCCGGAGCCCTAGGACTGCTGAGCTCAGGAGATTGAGTCTGGAGTAGCAGCTGTGAGTCTGGCAGCTGGCCAGCCCCTCCCCCATACTGGGGTCCACGTGTGGGGCCTCCTTTCTCCCTCATCCTCCTCCAACTTGCAGCTCATGTGGAGTCCTTGTCAGCATCAACCAGACAGGGCCAAGACCATCTTCACATCTGAGAGAAAGCACCAGGATGGAGTGCCAGATTTCATATGCTATGTTCCTGGGGTAAGTTATTGCCCATCTCTGGGTTTTGGGTGTGTCAGAACTCAGATAACAAAGGGCAGGCTGGAAACGTAACTGGGTTGGCAGAGTGCTTGCCTGGCATGCACGAGGCCCTGGGATAGCGGTGCATGCTTCTAACTTCAACATTCAGGAGGTGGGCACTGAAGAAATAGGAAGATCAGATTCTTATTCCGCACAGCAAATTTGAGGTCAGCACAACTTGGAGCCTAGCATCATCCATCCCCACTCACCACTGAGACTGCTGGGCATCTTGAAGATTCATTCAATTCTAGCACCTGGCACCTACTGCCCGAGGCAGAGAAGCATGGGCTCTACTGTGTCCCAAGTGAGCTAGCTACTCCTTTGCTTCGGTCTTTTGGGGCTTTCACTGTCCTTAGAGTATAGCATGAATTTCCCAGCCTCCCACAGATCCTCTGATTGGCTCCCGCATGTGGTCCGCTTCTATCTGTGCCTTCTTGTGTTGCATGTGAAGCTGCATCATCTTTGACTTTACATACTCTATGCCTGCCCTTCCCCCAATATAACCTTTTCTTGGTCTTCATTTGATCTTCCTATAGAATCAATTTTCTACGTCACCCCCTCCAGGATGTTTTCTTGGATCGTCTCCCACCTTCAGAGTGAACTAGGCCCTTTTCTTTGACTCACACTGCTCTAGGTGCCCTGGACAGATTATATTCTCTTGTGACTGTCTCCTTGTTAAGGGCAGAGACAGGATCAGAGTGGTCCTCCTGTGACTGTGGATTATTGATATCCCACATAGAAGGCATTTTGCAGTAGGTTAAGGGAAACTTTGAGCATGTTTTCTTTGGCCCCCGGGCAGCCCAGATCATGGGTTTGAATAGCTAGACGGTACCTCTGGTAACCTGTGCGTGTGTCTGACCTATGGTTAGGAATAAACAGGCATGATTTTGGGGATCCCTGATTCAAACCGTGTGAACCACATCGAGAACAATCCTCTGATTCATGGATCCTCCATCTAGTCCAAGACTCCAATGGGTCTGTATCTCTGCCGCCCCCTGGATGCTCATTCCACTGGCGTTAGCCTTGTCTGCCCTGAGCCTTCCCTCCAAGCCTTTCTTTATTCCCTAGAGTCTCTGCCACTCCTGCAGCCTCTTCTCCCCAGATTCTGCCTGTTCTTTAAAACCTGAAAATCCAACATCTACACTGTCCAGGAATGGAACTGTAGGATCCCTAGTCATATCACTCCAAACCGGGGATTCTCCCTATACCTACCTGGTGTCCAGCCCAGCACTTTGTTGGAATACCCCCAAGTGCTCTCAACTGCCCCAAATGGAGCTCAGATTAGATTTAGGGACAGCATAGCTGGTTCCCCTGAGAGACCTCCCCCAGTGAGGAGGAACGCCCCTCAGGGGCACATTTATTACAGAGCGCACACTAACTTCTTTCATGACAACTAACGGCATTAAAACTACAAAAAATATCTGGTTTTTGGAGTGGGCAGCTCAGCGGGGCCTCTTGGCGTCTGACTTGGCTGCGCAAAAAGGGGCGGGAGTGATAGGAAGAGAGAGGAAGGAGAGAGCTGGGTCAGAGAGGACGCCCACACAGGCTCCACCTTCATGGTGGGAGGGCTGGGGCTGAGGTGGGGCCAGCTGGGATGGGAGCTACTCAGGCCTTTCATCTCCAACAGGGAGTAAGAGGGGCCTCACAGAGGCCCCAGCAAGCGGACGGCAGAGCCAGTGTGCGGAGGAGAGGCCTAAATGTGCCCACCCTGCCTGCCCGTTCCAAGACAAAGAACCCACTAGCTGTTTTCTCTAGAGCCCTAGCTAGTAGCCTGGTGGACAAGCACAGACCAAAGTCCTCTGGAAGCTGGTGGTATAGACACAGTGACTCCAGTCCCCTGATCCCACAGGGATCGGCTGGCTGGCAGAGCTGCTGCTGGGGGAGGGGTTGCTGACATGAATGGGAGGGAGGATGGAAGACAGGAATGTGCCTCAGCACATAAAAGCAGGGTGGTGTGGTTTTCTTCACCCTCAGGGCTGGGTGCCATTGGCCTTGGCACTAGTAAGGGCTGCCTTCCGGAAGGCCTGCAGACTTGGGTTGTGTAGCAATGTGTAGGCCAGACCCCAGCGGGCCCTGCTCTGGCTGCCTTTGGGTCCTGCTACCCTGGTCATCAGGTCCTTGGTCTGTAGCAACTGCATCCCTGAAAGAGAGAGAGAGAGAAGGGGAGGGAGGAAGGCCTTCTATGAGCCCCAGCCAAGCTTCTGCAGGCCACAGACCTGAGAGGGATCTAAAACTCCCAGACACAGCCAGGGTTCCAGTTACCAGCGGCGGGGGTGGGGTGGGGGGGAAGCTGAGCTGCAGAAGCATGTCACTCTGCTGGTGGAAGAGCAGGGAGAGGATGAAGGCAAGGAACTAGAGGCTGTCGGGTGGACAGCAGAAGGTGGGAGTCAGGGAAGTGAGAGCCGGCCTAGTATCCCTATTATAGACCTCCTGGGCAGGAGATGGCACCTCACTCCCGGAGGAAGCCAGGGAGGAGTATCAAGACAGCCATTCCATTCTCTGTGCACACATAAGATATATGTGTGTGAGAGTCCATGTTAAAGACAAAAGCACTCTGAGACCCGAGCAGAAGGGTGACGATAGGAAGCTGAAGGACACGTGGACAAGAGACTTTTCCTGGCTCACTCTTTTGGAAGGGGCCTCCTGTGACTCCTTCCTGCGAAGCTGGGAGTCTATCTCCCCAGCCGGGGTAAAGAAGTACCTTCTTCTTCTTCTGCTGGTCTGAGGCTGTCCTGGGGAGCCAATGGGGGCCGGGGCTGTGGACGTGGCATATGAAGGAGCAGGGCACAGAAGGCTATGACTCCTGGATGTGATTGGCTGGCCTCAATCCTCAGGAAGTTTCGGTATGTGTGATAGCCTAGGATGGGTTGGGGACAGAAGGCTGAGGTATACACCCCAGCATCAACCAAAACACGGCACGCACACACTTCACATAGGCACTGGCACCCTTGTTAGAATACACCACAGCCACTCCGCTACACATGCTTCTCCTGCACCAAGAAGCTCTGGCACATCTCAGTACACACACACTGCACGCACCTGTGAAGCCCCGGCAGTACGCACACATTGCACACATATGCCTCACACCACAGAGCCTTGACAATGCTCACACACCCACTGCACATGGACATAGAAGCCTACTCGCACGGATCAGCTCAGAGGTCGGGGTGTAGCAGCTGCTTGGACAGCTCAGTCCCCCGGGTCCCTGCCTAGTGACCTTACCTGGATCCAGAGAGGCAGCTCTCTGCGACAGCAGGCTGAGGTCCATCTGGCCCAGGTGAACAGTGTTGTAGAGGGAAGAGAGGAGCACCCGCCCGAAAGCCATTACGGCTCCCACCAGCATGTTGATGGGGAAGAGAAGAAAAGTGGCTACGCAGAGGATGCGCCTGGGGGTAGGGAGGAGAAAAGTTGAGGAGGGCCTCCCTCACAGTCTTGTGCCAGGCCAGGGTCATACCTCTAAGACCTCAGGCTCTGTTTGTTTTCCACTGACATTGGGTGTGTTTTTGTACAGCCCAGAGAGGCCAGAGTTTAGTTTCAGGTGTCTGCCTCTATCACTTGTTTTTGTTTGTTTGTTTGTTTGTTTTGTTTTGTTTTTTGTTTTTTGTTTTTGTTTTTTGTTTTTCGAGACAGGGTTTCTCTGTGTAGCCCTGGCTGTCCTGGAACTCACTCAGTAGACCAGGCTGGCCTCAAACTCAGAAATCCGCCTGTCTCTGTCTCCCAAGTGCTGGGACTAAAGGTGTGCACCACCACTGCCTGGTTTATCACTTGTTTTTTGGAGACAGGATCTCTCACTCAACCTGGAGCTCACTGATTCAGCAAGACTAAGTCGGTTAGCATGCCCCAGGGATCTTCCAGGCATGTGTCACTGTGTCCAACTTTTTATGTGGGGTCTGAGGAGCAAGTGAACGCAGGTTCTTATGCTTGCATGGCAAGCGCTTTACCAACTGAGTCATCCCCTCAACCCTCCACCTATATCTGTGTGACCCGGATGTTCCCACCTTCCTCCTCTGGGTCCCCTGTCCAAGCTCCTCTTGGGAACCAAGATCTTCCCACGCCCTTGCTCCAGAGTGAGAGATCTGAGGGAATAGGATGTTGGTGATTCTCAAAGCAAGAAAGCCTCTTGGCAGAGCTGGGTTAACAACTCTGTAGTAGTGTGTGTATCTACCATACACTAAGCCCTGAGTTTGCAAGGTTGTGGGTTCTCAGCATCTCAAAATCTCTGTGACAGGTAAGAAGGAGGCATTTTTACAAGGCAAAATCTACAGAGAGAAGAGTCTGGGGTCTGAGGGAACCACAAACTCAAGAGACCATCTTACCGGTTGGTCAGCTCTGGGTATCCATGGTGAGTCTCCAGAAAAATCCAGTTGGCAGCTATGTTCTGCAGGATTACAGCCAAGACCAAAGTCAGCCAGAAGGGCCTGTACATGGGTAGGATTTGGAGAGGGCTGCCGTTAGTGGTCCCTTCAGAAAGTCCCAAAGCCCCTGTTCTTTGCCTCACTCACCATGTGGATTCCAGGAATCGTAGGAGCAGGAGATTCCTACCATGGAGTAAAGGCACAAACACCAGAAAGGCCAGGGCTGTGGTCCCCAAGAAGAAGATGACCTGCTGCACCAGGAGCCCTGCAGGGGGCAGAAGGGACAAGGGGACAGACAAAAGGTTCTGTGAGAGCCAGTTAACTCAAGGAAGCCAAGGGTGTCTGTGCTACTTCCATTCTGTGTCACTGCCTGAGCCTTGCTTTCTTTGTCTACAAAATAAGGACAGTAGTCCCTTTTAAGACTCCAGGAGCCTCAGAATCCATGCTATTGTCCCCGCTTGATCCTGAGTTCTCAAGCATAATTACTTTTTAAATAGGCACATGTGTGACTGTGAATCAGAGCTTAGCACCTGTAGGTGCTGAGTGAGAAAGGCCATGGAAACCATCGGGCTATACGGTCACCTGGAATGGTGCATACAGAAGGGCTTGGGAGGTCTAAGGTTGACCAAGACGAGGAACAAACCTTTTAGTTTTACTATTCCCTCCATCCCCCACCACACCTTGCTTTCTTCCCCTGGGTGAGAATGGGAGATCTGAGGACCAGGTCTGGCCTTTGGACTTCCAGGAGGAGCCAGGTCACTCATAGTTCAAGTATGTTGTACACCATGGTGTCTAAGGGGGGAACTTGAGGCATATTCTAGAAGAGTCCTTGAGGGTCATCTGAGCAGATTGACTCAGAGCAGCCAACACCCCTATGCAGCCCTCACATGTCCATGCATCCTTGCTGGCATCACCCAGGAATGACGAACCCTTCACCTTGAGGCAAATCACTATGGCCAGCCTCCTCCTACAGAAGCATCCATATGCTACATTTGGACCCGTGTCCATCCTGCCCACAATTACCCAGATGCACCTTCCTCTGAAGGGTTCCCCTTTCTGGGGGCTCCTAACCACCATCCAGAGCAAGCTTCCTGAGAGCAAAGAGAACAGGTAGGTTCCCCCTACCACCCTGCCCAGCCCAGGAAAATCTTTGCCAAGTACCCCTACCTCCCACCAGGGCCCAGCTCTGGGAACAAAGCAAGTGGGCTCACCAAGGCAGCTGAAGGCCGTCTGATAGGCACTGAAGCTCATCCAGCAGACTATGGCTTGGCGAGAGGGGTGAGTACTCTGAAGAGGGGGGCCCAGGTCCAGGGCAGCCCCTCGGTGTAGTGCTTGAAGATTGGCCCTGGGTTGAGAACAAATAGTGACCTTGGGGAACAACACAGTACCCCTAAATGGTAACCTAGGGCAAGCATCTGGCCATCAGCAGGGAACCCCAGGGCTTCAGTAACCTGGTGGTTAACTCAGTCTTTGTATGGTCTTCCTGAGGAGGTGAGGTTGGTGGAGTCTTGGAAGATCCCAGAGAGAGGGCACAACCTTGAACCACCGCTGGGAACGGAACTGGGACCCAGTTGGGTCATCAGGGAGTAAGGCAAGGCAGAGGGCCTCAGATACCAGGGCAAATAGGGTCAGCTCTGTGGTCTAAAGTCCTCAAGTAGGAACGCTGAGGCCTGGCAAGTGCCCAGAGTAGGTAGACCAGTTGTCTGCACCAATCATTTCTCAGAACAATCTCTCAAATGGCCCTCTATCCTCCACAATACCTGCTCACCCTCCAACTTGTATGAAACTGTTTATCCACTTCTCTGACCTTATTCATGAAGTCACACCTGCCTTTGGTACCCTTCATCCTTCAGCCCCAGCCCTCCCAGGGCCCCTTCTCACAGGCAAACTCTCAAGCAATGGGTTGTTCCCTGTACCACTTATACAACTTGAGGACAACCAGCTGTGTCCCTGTGTCCCTGGGGGGAAATGAGCCCCACCTTCTCCCACCACACACAGCCTACTTGGGGCAGGGCATGCACTCTGTGGCAGCCTGACCTGCAGTGGTTTTACCCTTCCCTCCCGGATTGGGGTCCCTCAAGTCCTCAGGACTTTGATCGCTTTCCTGTCTCTGTACCCTATCTCTGTATCTCTGTGTCAGGGCCTGTAACTGACCTGTGTGTCCTCAGGGAGCGGAGCAGGAGCAGGAGCGTTAATAAACAGGATAAGACCAGAGCTGAGATGTAACATGCTGGATGGGAGAGAGCAGGAGGGCAGGGGCTAGAGGATCTTCCAGAGCCTCCGACCCCTGTACTTTATTCTAAGAGGAAACCACTGGGGTCCAGCTCCAGGTCTTGGGTCCAACACTGACCTGACATTGTCTATGGCTTCATCCTGCCCAGTAACATATGATAGCCAAGAAAGGGAAAAGGCCACTTTGAGTCGCAGACATGGCCTTCACTTAGGTTTTGTTGCTTACATCACTAATGACCCCTATAGGTAGAGATCCCTACCTGGCATCTGCCTGCAACTCCTCTCTTCCTGCCCGTGTAGCTGACTTCAGGGGGCCTTGTGACAAGCACAGGCTTCACTCAGATGGCCGTGCTGCTGTGGCCCACTTCCCAGAATGTCTCTGGCCATAAATCCATCTGCACCTGTATCAGTGGCCTTGTTTGGGTCACAGAGAGTTGTGTCTCACTACCTACCTTAATGATGGAGGTGATAACTGCTACCTATCTCCTCTGGATGGGGCCCTTCTTCTCAACTCTCTCCCTCACAACCCTGACCATACACAGAGACAGACCGTCAGGACCACAGTCCCTGTAATGGTGAATAGACAGCTCTGAATATAAGTATAAGAATATTGTGGGGCTGGAGAGATGGCCCAGTGGTTACGAGCACTGACCACTCTTCCAGAGGTCCTGAGTTCAATTCCCAGCAACCACATGGTGGCTCACAACCATCTATAATGGGATCTGATGCCTTCTTGTGGTGTGTCTGAAGACAGCTACAGTGAGTGTATTGTGGGCATAGCTGACATGCTCCAAACCCACATGCCAGCCAGCCTCACCCTACACTCTCACAGCAAGCCTACAGGGTCTCTCACAGGAACTGTTCAGGGAGGGCTTGACAGCCCATGCCTCTGTACCCTCCCTGCTCTGCCTTACGCTGCCCGAATGTCATGGCCTGTGGAAGAATGACGGTGTGTGTGGGGGGAATATTTAAAGCAGCCACACCTCCATCTGCAATGTTGGCAGCCTAAGCTCCAACCATTGCATGCTAGTTCCCCCAAAGCCAGAATGTTCATTTCAGCAAGGGAACCTCCATTGGGCCAATGGAACATGTCCCCATGAGTCATGACTCTCAGACTTTGTGACAAAGTGGAAGGAAGTCCTAACTTGGGCTTCAGGGATCTATATTCTATCTACTGTGCCCTGTTGTACAACCTAAGGCCAGCCCCGCCCCATGTGACCCCCACAAGTTTCTGGGAGAGGCTTGGGGAGAATAGGATGGTAGCTATAAGGCATATCAGACCCTGAAGGGACAGCTGGTAGTGTGTTTATAGGACTGAGGCTCATTTCATAGGAAGCAGGAAGGAGGAGATGGTCTAGACAGACCAGAATTGGAAAGAGAAAGCAAGTGTCCTACCAGGCTACAGCCTATGTCAAGAGGGATTTATTACCCATAAATCCCACCCCATCCCATGTACTAGTCTTCTTCTCCTTCTCTACCCTGAGGCCACACGACCATGGGCTTCTCTGTCACTACAGCTGGAGAGTTAGTCAAAGATACTGGGACTGGGAGAGAGGAAGATGTCACAAAGGTTAATAAGGACCATAGGCTGCACAGACATGGACACTCCAGCTGCCCCCACTTTGAGATGTGGAATGGAGACCCAGTGCAGGAAGGGACATCCCTTGTGTTCACGGCAGGCTAAAACCACATCCAGTAGCCGGTCTCCCGTCCCCACTATGACTTTTCAGGGACATCAAGCAATCTCACCTTCCACAGCCCATAGGTGATGTTTCACCAGTTCCACCACCTCCTGCCTGTCTTCAGAGAGCACGATCCCAAAGCCAGCCAGCAGGTAGGAGACATCTGTGTTGATTCCCGCCCTCACCTTCTGCACAGTAGGTACCACGCTCACCAGCAGCAGCAGGGCCACCTGGAAAAGCCCCACTATGAGGACAGAGAGGACCAGCTCTGTGTGTACCATCCTGAAAAAGTGTCTCCTAGTCTGCTAGGCAAGACTCTAACCAGCTGCAGCCACATGCCCCTAAACTGCCCCAAGAACAAGTCCTTCTGCCCTCAAACAGAATGTGACATGAATGTATGACTTCTGCCCAACAGGTCAAAGATAGGCTATACCTTCTTATTTACCTCCACTTGTCTATATAAGCTTCAGAGTATAGGCATTTCCAACTTTGGGCTGGGCTGATAGTTCAGTCAGTCAAGTGCTTGGCAAAACTGAATTTGATTTCCCAGAACCCATATAAAAAGCTGGGCATGGTGGCTCCTGCAACCTAGCACCGGGGAGGCAGAGACAGGCAGATCCCTGGTGCTCAGTGACCAGGCAGCCTAGCCTGCCCCGGCAAGCTCCAGGCCAGTGAAAGATTCTATCTTATAATACAAAGTGTAACTAAGGAACGATCTGAGGAGTTATCCTTTGGCACACACGCACACACACATGCACACACACACACATGCACACATACACACATGCACACACACACACACACAGAGGGGTAAGTGTGTGTGAGAGAATCCATCTTTTCCATGGTAAAGAAAACAAATGAATATTAAAGATAGAGACCCTTGGGTTCAAATTTTGGCTGCTCTAAGATGTTAGCTGTAGGCACTGGGCTGAGTTAGATGCTCTATGCCTCAGTTTCCCCTGATTGTAAAATGAAGATAAACCAGACCTACATCACCCCAGGAGTTTACATTGTTGTTGCTTTGTTTCTTGTTTGTTTGTTTGTTTGTTTGTTTCAGACAGGGTCTCCTCTAGCCCAGGCCAGCTTCAAACTCACTTTGTTACTAGGGACAATCTCGGACTTCTGGGCTGCCTGTCTCTACCTCCTAAATGATGGGATTACAGGCTTATCTCTAAGCCATGCTGAGGATTAACCCAGGGTTCCACATATCCTAGGCAGACAACCTACCAAGTAAGCCAAGTAGCTCCTATGCTAAAGGTAGTAGTGATTCGTCAAACATGGCAACTCACAAAATCCTTGCAACGTAGAAAAGTGATTTTATTTCTTCCATTTTACAGATGAGCTAATAGTTTCATGAAAGTGAAGAAATTTGGCCAAGGTCACCCAGGAAGTGCACAATGGCAGTACAATTTAAGTCCATGTTTATATGACTTTGAAACTTACGAATCATTATATAAACCTGCGAAGGGCTGGCATCCCTCCCGCTGGGTAAGCTAATGTTTCCAAGATGCACAACAGCTGATTGGCTAAGGGAGAACACCTGGGGATCTGATTTGGGCCTGGGGCTGTCTCATGTTTGGAGGTCTGAGGACAGGGGTTCAGGGATAACGAACACTGCAAAATGTAGGACACACCTGGTAAGTGGCTGTTCCTGTCAGGGTGGCCGAGATCACCAGCGTCAAGGGCAGGCGGAATCCTACCAGGAGAAGGCATGTGGAGAAAAATGTGACCCAGCCTCTGTGGCCCCATCCCTTCCAAGCCAGACCAGTGCATCCCTGTCCAAGACCGGCAGCTGTCTCTACGAGGGTTCTGAGGAACAAGCTGACCCTTCCCACCAGCTTCTCTGAGCAAAGACTCTTCCTAACCCTGGCTCTCCACCGCATCACCTACCTGGCTGCGGAGTGTAGATAGAATCCTGAGAGAAGGCCCAGGCCCGAGACAGGACGCTGCGCTTGGAGGCGGGGTGGGAGCTGCAGACAGATCCGGGTAGGTTAAGCCTCAGGGGAGAGGCCTCTGCTCAAGGCCACATTCAAGTTGGGTCCCAGCACCATGGCGCTAACAAGAGCCTCCTCCACAGCATACATCCAGTCCTACCCTCCCACAGGTTGCTCCCTGAGCCCCAGCTCTCTGCCTGCTGAGGCATGCCCAGACCTTACCAGGCATCCAGCTTCTTTGGACATAGGAGGGCTCTCAGATACTTCTCGGAGTAGCTGGTCTGCAGCCCCTGTATAACAGGACAAGGGTTACAGTCTGAGATCTGCCACCAGCAGTCCCTGGGGCCCTGGCCAAGGACACTGAATGGATGAATGAATGAATGAATGAATGAATGAATGAATACCAAGTAATTTCTCCAATGCCTCCTGATTTGGACAGTGGTGGTGGAGGGTGGGGAGGCTGACCTATGGGGACAAGGGTCACACCCTGGAAAGCTACATCCTCCACAAATAAAGAGAATCAGATTCCTATCACAGAACCTGAAATGCTGGGAAGTTCTTCCCAAGATCCCCTCTTAATCAGATATCAGTTCTCTGTCCTCTTCTAGCCAAGACTGGGGCCAAGGGAAGCCTGGGCCCTGTGGGCTCACTGCTGCTCAGGATACAAGATGGTGCTAGTCTAGGGCATAAACCCTAGGATCTCCTCCTGCTCTGTCTTACCCTAGGAAGATCACAGGGTAATGCATTTACCCAAGCCACATTCCAAGCCTTAAGCTGCCTGCACAGTGCCAGAGGCCTATGGGAAGGTGGGACGAACCTCTGTGGGAGAAGACGGGCCAGGGTCACCTGTTGCCAGGGCAGCTTGAGGACCTGAGGTAGAAGTGGGTCAGCTCAAAGCTTAACTGAGTCCCTTGTGGCTTAAATCTTTCTGACTTACTGTCCAACAGGATTTAATTCTCTTGGAGCTGTGGAGGAGAGGGGGAGGGGCAGAAGAAACCGTGGGAGGTGGGGGGGGGAGTCTCTGGGGACGTGTACCTGGCCTACTGTGTCTTCTGGGGGACCCTAGGCTTTGCAGAGAGAATGTGAATCTCAGGAGAGCAAGTGACGAGCCCTTGGGACCCTGCTGTGAAGGTAGCAGATCTGGAGCCAAACCAAGAGGCTGGGGTCTCCTGGACCGGATAAGTCTCCTGAGTCCACAGGCTTTCCTTCTCTATGCCCTTCATTTCTCCTCAGCTCCAGTTCAGTGCCTGCCAAGGCCTCTGCCTATCTGTGACCCGAGTAGCATGCACCCCAGAGAACACCACCTTGGGTGGCCCTGCCCCTCGCTACCCTAGGTCATCCGGGGGAGGGGAGCTATGTTATTCAAGTCCATGCTTGTGCCCAGAGACATCCAGCCTGGCTGGGTTTGCAGCTGGTAACTCATTCATCTCTTCGCCCTTGCTTTCCCCCTCCGGCCTGGGCCTTACTCACCCCATCTGGGCCCTCTCCTGGCCTCCCCCTCCCTAGGAGGCCTCATGACCTACAATCCTATAGCTACAGACTCGGGAGACTGGGTTTGTGGGGGTGCCCATCTCCCGGTGGGTATGAGGCACTACCTGCAGAAGGTCCAAATCAGTGGATTCTGAAGTCCCAACATCCAGCCATCCCCTGACATGTGGGTGGAGCTTCGAGGCCTTCTTGATAAGTTCTTAGTATTTTTCAAGAATGCTCTCTCGTCATGAGACATCCATTTACAGCATCCACTCCTCCGAACAAGTCACAGTACTTTCTTTTTAAAAGTCGTTATCTTTTATATCCTACCCTGGCCTTGAACTTCTGGTTCTCCTGCCTCTGCCTCCCAGGTTCTGGGAGCCATGATGCCCAATTTATCCTTGGTGCTTAGGACCAAAAACCCAGGGTCTTATGCATGCTAGGCAAGCCCTCGTCCAACAGATAAAACCTCAGCCTTGTAGGGAATCTCTTCTGAGCTTCATTCTGCCCAGGACACACATATGTGTATAAACAGCACAGCTCCCACTCCACGATCAGCTCTTTCTGTTGCCTGCTCTTCTCCCACTCCACGGGCTCTCTGTCCTTTAGACTCACTGAATTCTGCCTCCAGGAAGCCCCTTCCACCAGTCAACACTCGACTGCATCTGACACCATTCAACACTTCAGATCAGTTCAGAATGAGCTTCCTGGACCAGCCTGACATCTAACTCTGCAGACCCACAGGACCCTTGGATGGCTCACTGCTGCAACCCTCAGGGGTTTCCAAGAACTGAATCCCTGAATTTAGTTGTCCTTTGCTGAGTCCCCACTCTGCATACAGCCTGGGTACCCTAGAGACCTTCAAGAACCTGGCTTAGCCCTTTCTGCCTGGGGAGGACAATACAAAACAGTTGCTCTGATTTTTTTCCCGAGGCTTTCTGTGAGGAAAAGTTCTTGCTGAGCCTGACAACCTGAGTTTGACGCCCAGGACCCGGATGGTGGAAGAAGAGAACTCAAGAAAGTTGTCCTATGGCCCAGGACATTCTCTCTCTCTCTCTCTCTCTCTCTCTCTCTCTCTCTCTCTCTCTCTCTCTCTCCTGCCAGAGGAGGACAATACTAAACAGTTACACTGATTTTTTTTTCCTAAGGCTTGAAACATTTTTGAAAACTAAGAACTTATCAAGAAGGCGTCTCAGCTTCTCCCACATGTCAGGTGCTGGCTGGATGATGAAACTTCACACACACACACACATACACACACACACGGAGAGAGAGACAGAGAGAGAGAGACAGAGAGAGAGGGACAGAGACAGAGACAGAGAGACACACAGAGAGAGACAGAGAGAGAGACAGAGACAGAGAGACACACAGAGAGAGACAGAGAGACAGAGAGAGACAGAGAGACAGAGAGAGACAGAGAGAAACAGACAGAGAAGAGAGACAGAGACAGAGAAAGACAGACAGAGAAGAGAGACAGAGACAGAGAGGGAGGGGGAGGGGAAAGAGAAAGGGAGAGGGAAAGGGAGAGGGAGAGGGAGGTAATTTTAAAACACAGGAGGCATGGACGTGAGAAAAAAGGTGTCAGAGAGCAGCCCTGCCCACGCCTTTACCTGGGAGCCTGCTCCTGTCCGGTAACGGATACTCTGCACCAGCTGTACTGGATACCAAAGGCTCAGGAATCCAAGACCCAGAAGCAGAGGCAGGGAGGCCAGCAAGGAGTAGTGCTTGTAGATCTGAACAGACAGACACTCTATCAGACCTGCCTTCTGCCTTCTTTCCAGGATCCATTCCCACCCCACAAGGCACTGGGGATGGCCCAGGAACCATGGCAAGCCTCTGATTCTAGGGCCTCCAGACTAGGTCACCTCCCCATCTTATGCCCCAATGGCCTAAGCAGACCTCAGAGAATGTGTCACAAGTTCTTCCTAGATCCCCATGGGCTTCAGCGAGACCTGTAACCTGACACCCACTTTCTCCGTTTCTGTGCTCCCAGAATGTTAGGGCACATACTATTAAAAACCAGACAAAGGGGAGGGGGCGGTGAGGAGATGGCTCAGTGGTTAAGATGATTGGCTGCTCTTCAGGGGACCTGGATTTGGTGTCTAGCACCTATGTGGCAGCTCACAGCTGTCTGTGACTACAGTTTCAAGGATCTAGTGCCCGCTTCTGGCTTCCACAGTGCTACATGCCTGTGATGTGTGTGTATGTATGTGCACGCGTATGTGTATATGCAGATACTCATATACATTTTAAAAATAAAAATTAAATCTAAAAATAACTACACAAAGTCCTAATTTGGTCTACTACAGTTTATCTATTATATCCATGAGAGACCTTCCTGGGTCGGCTTCTTCCATATTCATTCATTTGATTTTCAATTCAGTATAGGATTTTTTTTCTTTTTGAGAGAGAGAGAGAAAGAGAGAGAGAGAGAGAGAGAGAGAGAGAGAGAGAGAGAGAGAGAGAGTGTTTCATGTATACCAAATTCCAAGTGCTAAACAATATTCAAGTCCCTTGACAAAAAAAAACTTCTTAGGTTTTTGTGTTGGGGTGGGGACTCTTTGCTTTCTATTTTGAGCCAAGGTCTAGCTCTGTAGCTCAAGCTGGCCTCAAATTAGTGATTCCCCTGCCTCAGCTTCCCGAGAACTGGTATGACAGGTGGGATCCATGATGCTTGGCTTTAAAAACAATTCCTAATCTTCACCTTCCCGGAGAGATTGGCGTTACCAACTCCATTGACAGGTGGGGAAACTGAGTCTCAGACAAGTGCCACTTCTCTCAGAGCACTTAGCACTAGGCAGGGCCACCTTGCTTGTGTATCGTGTCTCTACTTCTGGAAGGACAGCTCCTAGAAAGTCAGGGACTTACTTTATTTTGTCTACAGGTATATTTCAAGGCCTGGAAATGTTTGTTGATTGAATGAACGAAGTGGCACAGCTGTGAAACTGGATTGTCTGGCTAGAAAACTGACACCATTTCTTTTTGGATCTGGACTGGGGAGCTTCTTAGTCCCTTGCCAGTGACAGTGAAGCTAGTTCTGGAGTTCTAGAATTCTCCTTTAGACCTCTGAGGTTATTTCCCCACTCAGAACTTCTCTCTCTCTCTAGTCTCCCTGCCTACAGAAAGACTCAGAAATCAGGGGAGGGATGCTATAAGCATCCTCTTCCTCCACTCTGCCCTCTGAGGCTGAAAGCTGCTGGGGACAGGGCCCAGATCCCTGCCCCAGGTCTCAACCTCAGAGCAGCCAAGCTTGGTACAGACATGGATTGATGGGCACGAGATCCCGAGAATGACCGAGGAAAGCAAGGAAGGCCAGAGTGTAGACAGAGATGAGAGTCAGGCAGGTGCACCCTCAGCCCTGGGCCACTGGGAGTCAGAGTTACCTTGGGGTCCTGAGGACACTCTGCTCTCTGCCAGACCTGAACACCAAAGTGGGCCCAAGATAACACAGTACCCAGTAAGTACGCAGCTTGGTGCCCTGCCGTAGCACAAGCAGCCAGAGGGTAGTAGAGGGCTGGAAAGTAGAGCAAAGCCAGTAGCTTCCAGGGCCCTAGAAAGAGAAACACATGAGAGACATTAAGAGAGAGAAAGACTCAGGGCCTAGACCATACCCACAAGAGATGCTTTTCTGTCCCCATCTCCGAAGCCCCTCAGCTGTTCCAGTGCGTGAGAGCTCACTTTGCTTGGGTCTGAGCAAAGGCTCTGTGATCCTAGCCAAGTTACCTCTTGATGTCTCTGTCTCTCCATCTGTAAAAAAGCCAAAAGCAAACCAAGAAGTGCTTAGTGAGGTGCCTGAGTAAGTACTCAACAAACTAAGTACTACTTTATCGCTGCTTTCTTCTCTGACCCTTAGTTCTCTCTACTGTAAACTAGAACTATTAATATATCCCATCCTTTGTGGAGACTGTTGCTCTAAAGAGGTCATTCTGCGGCCAGCGGTACCCCCTACTGATGGCTGTTCCTGTTGCTGTCACCTCCCCCAGCCAACCTTAATAAACCAGGACCCTACCCTGCCCTGTCCCATCAGGCCAGCCCCAGGATCTTCTGCTGGATACCTGGACTGGATACTGCAGTGAGGTTCAGGAAAGGCAGTGGGTTCTCATCAGGGATCAACAGGCACAGATTGCTGAAGAGGACCACAAAGACAGCAGCAGGCACTGTCCAGGATCTGTCCCCAGCCAAGAAATCCACAGGGCTGCCATATATAGGGATGGAAGAATAACAGGAATACAGTCAGTCCCTGCGACTTCGCCTCTCCACAGTGTGCTCCCTAAGCTGTCAGGTCTATAGTCCAGAGGGGAGAATCTCTTCACCATCCATTCATTCGATGCCAGCATGCTTGTGGAGAGCCTAGAACCCATCCTGAGCTGGACCCTAGGGCACAGGCGCTAACAAGCTCTAGATGCTCCACCCACCAGGGGAGCTCCAGGAAACAGCCGCCTCCTCCTGAATAGATCTGTCAGTCTGGGCTGGCAGATCTTCAGAGAACACAGAGAGTCATAACATCCTTGTGTAAAGACAACCTCCCTGGGTTGTGCTGGGTGTGGACCAGGGCAGAGGGCAGACAGCGGGCACGGCAGTCCCAGGCTTGGGTTCTCTGCTTCTCTACTCTCACTTGTCCTGGTGCTCTGAGAGCCTCATCCTGCTTCGTCTGCTCCCCCAGCAAAACAGACTTCTCCCTGCACCAGGCAGAGTCTCTGGGTGCTTCCACAGCAGTCTCCAACTCCCACAGGACTTGTGGCTGGCACCTTTTCTAACGTTTGCTGTCTCTCTCTCCAGCCAGCCCAGTCCTCTGCCCTCAGGATGACACCCAGCTCACTCTCTGGAGTTGCAAAGCCAAAGGAAAAAGGAAAAGAAAGCTGCAGCCATGGAGGCTACAGGGCAACTGCTCACTGCTCATGATCCCAAGATAGTCTCAAGAGAAACATCTGAGACAGCATGGGGGCTCTATGTCTGAGGGCTACATACCAGGGCCTACATTTCTCTAGAACTCTTTCCTCCACGTCCTGATCTCTTAAGCAGGTAGATGGAGTAGCCTCTTCACCCGCCTGTCTAAGCCAAGAAAGCTGTGTGGGGAGGGCTCTAGACTGAGAAAGACAGGGCTGTTCCTAAGTCAGAGCTGGCTTTAAAGCTTCTAAGAAGTCACTCAACTTCCTAAAGGAGACTTATCAGCTGGGTCTCAAATGGGGCTTCCCAGAGACTAGCACAAACCTGGGCAGTCCAGGTCTGCGATGACCACAGTGTGGCCAAAGCCTGCGACGTCTCACCACCAAGGCCAGCAGCAGCAGAGCCAGGAGCTGGAGGAAGAGAGAAGCACAGGGCTTGGATGTCAGGCTTCCCAGAGATCGGAGTCCCAAGATTTGTCCCTGTCAGTCTCAAAAAAACGCTCCCCACCCACCCAATTATATACTCGGGTGACGTCTTAGAGACTGGCTAAAAGATGACAGAGTTAGTTGGTCAGCACTTTTGGCTTGGGATCCCTGTAGGGAGAACTCCCAAATAATCTTTCCTGGAGGTACTAGGTCTCTAGCACCATCCCAAATGGGAACACAGATCCCTCTGCCTTGACTGGCAGCAGGTGGCAAAGCAGGCTAGACTTACCGACAGTGAAGCCAGGCAGGCATGAAGCAGGGCAGGGGGTGCGGTAGGCTGACAAGGGGGATTCACCCTGTGGAAGAAAGGATTCACAGGCTTAGCTGTAGCTAGGGTTTAAGGCAATTCCCACAGAGAAGGCCTCACCAGCATCTCCCTCAGCTCCCACCGCAGCCTGTTTGGTTCCGCTTTTCAGGGTGAATCTGGGCGCCCCCCCCCACCTTGTGCTGTGCCAGCCCTGTGTCATGCTATAGGGCTAGAGAAAGGAGACTCTTGGGAGACATAGAGTATGCAGTTTGGTCTAAATATCTATTCTTGCTCACCCAAATAATTCCTATCCTCCAAGGATCCTCCTCCTCGTCCATCCATTTTTTAGGGGACTTCCGGCTGCTCCTAACCTCACAGAGACTCCTCTTCACAGAGCAGAGGTTAAACACACTATCTGAGTTGAACAATCTAGCATCCAGTCTTGTGACTTCCTTCTGGTGCCTGACTGATCCAGGACTGGAAGGGCCCTCTCTCTTTCCCCATTCCATCCCATTAAAAGTGTTAATGTACGGTGAAACGGTTTGCACACTGCACAGGGATGCTTGACCAACAAAATAAATATGGTCAGAAATCCAGGCCATTCAGCTCTCCATGTTCTGTGCCTGCTGAGCTGAACACACCAAATGAAGTATTCTTTTTCCTAATCACCACAGAGGCTCCCTGGGGGCTGGCAGACGTCCTGCTCTGCAGGTAACTTCAGCACAAAAGGAAGCCAGAGGCAAAGAGCTTGCTCGATGAGGACCTCTGAAGCAACTTCCATGTCTGGGTCACGTGGCAGAGAAAGCTCGGGACTACAGATGGGTAAGTGAGGAGGCTGGGTACCAGGGCCGATCGCTTTGTAGCCTGCAAGGGCTTGGGTCTGAGAGCCAGGGGGAGGTTTCCAGTGTGAGTGAGGCCTGGGAAGATGGGACTGTGGAGGTTGGGATGGGGAGGAGGGAGGGGAATGATTGGTTGGGAAGAGGGAGGAGGGAAAGGCTGAAAGGAGTCTGTGCAGTGGCTTGGTTTGCCTTGCTAAGAGGCTAGGCCACCCCAACCTGCTATATAGCAATGAGAAGTAAAGATGTCTGCAGAGCCCTGGGACCACCTGCTCCGTCAGCCTCCTCCATCCGACTTTCTTGCAGGACTTTCTGAGCTCATCACTGAGGTGGAGGAGGTCAAATGGGTCTTTCCCGTGCCACTTCTAAGCCCCAGATAAGCTGCTCCAATGGGAAATGTGCCTGCCATGCAGGAGTGTGGGGATTGGTATCTTGTCTGAGCTTGGGTCTTGCACCTGCCCACACCTAAGTGCAGTGTGTGGGAGGGGGAATGGGTGGAGCTCTGGCCAGCCCTAGGGTCTCAGGAGCATCACTCAAGTCCCTAAACCCTTCCCCGTGTCTAGTTTCTGCTCAGCCCAGTGCCTCCAGCCACACCAGGACAGAGATGTAGCACGTTGACCCTAAAGCAGCTTGGTGACTTTCTCACAAACCCACATTAAACTAGAAGCCACTCCAAGCCCGGAAACCTTATTTAGGGCCCTGTCTTCAGAACCTCTGGTCCTTACTGAGCATACAGTTTCTAGATGACACCTAGTTTAGTGTGTTTGCTCCCGATGGGTGGGGACTCAGCCTTTGTACAATTGGTCAGGGGACAACATAGATATTACCACAAGGACCACAGAGAATCCTCTCTCAGGAGAGATACAAACAGGTACTAAGGAGTGTAGAAGGGAGAGAAAGTTTTGTCTGGCTTCTGAGAGGTAGTTGAGAGGACCGGTCTTCACTGTCAGCTTGACTGCATTAAACAATGCCTAGAAATCAGGGAGGTAGCTCTTGCTATGTCTTCGAGGGTGTTCCAGAGAAAAGGAATGGAGAAGAAGAGAACCTTCCTCAACACGGACAGCACCACCGCTTAGGCAGAGTGCTAGCATTCGTCTGGCTGTTTCCTTACTGCCCAGATGCTTACAAGCACCAATTGCTGTGCCTGAGCTGCCACGATGGACTGGACCCTCAGACCATGAGCCACAATCCCTTTCCCCTTGAAGTGGCTTCTTGTTGGGTATTGGATCACAGCGATGCAAATGTAACCTTTAAGGTGCTTTCGGGCTTCAGCTAGACAGAAGATCTGTATCTCCATAGGAAAAGAAGGGTAGAGGTAGCCTGGGCTGTGGAGACAGCCTCAAGCAGGGAGAAGACAGTATAGTTGGCACTAGACAAGTCTCTCAGTTGGCCCAGAGGAAGGCCAGGGCAAGGTTAAAGCTGGCATGGGAGGCACTAAAATATTATGGAGCCTGCCTGTGCAAGAAGTCTGTGGCTGAGTCTATCCTGACCCTGGGCCCCACCCTAGCTCCATCCCACAGTGCACACTAAGGTACAGAAAGTCTGCATCCTGGAACTCTTCAAAGCTTTGATGTAGCACACCCCTGGGGTGTCTGACTCACAGAGGGAGAGGTGAACTCAAGTTCATCTCCTAGGGAATACCCTGTACTCCCTCCTAGCCTCCCATTCTCATCTCCGGGGGAGGAGGGAAAGAAGTGGGTTGGTGTCTAGACTTGTTGGTTGTTTTTTTTTTTTTTCCTTAAAAAGGTAAATTCCAATAATTCCCTTCATTCTACAGAGCCTTCTCTCTGAAGACCCGGTCCCCACCACTCAGTTACTTCATTCTGAGACTGTACACAGATATCCTAGCAACAGCGAGTTACAGGCACCCGGCTTCCAGCCCAACCTGGTCCCCGATACTCACAAGGACACAGTTTCTGATTGGGTCCTTACCCCAAAGTTAAGAGCTTGGTTTCCTTGGAGAGCCTAGGCCCCTCCTCTAGTCCACCACTGCATAGCCGAGCTGGAGAGGCTGGGAGAGGGGCAGCCACAGCCTAGCTGACCACAGGCTTCTTCTGCAGGTGGCCAGAACCGTAAGTCCTCCAAACAACAGTTCTTTCCCTTGGGTCTGGGTGGGGCCTCAGTCCCTGCTGGGTGACCCCAACCAAGCCAGGCTGCAGCCCTAGCCTCTGGGGAAACACTTGAGCATTTTTTCCTTCTCCAGTTTCAAATTTTAATGGTGAACAGATGTGCACACATCTGGCTGAGTACCACCCCTCCACCCCATCTCACCCCACCCCCACCTCTCTGCCTCACCTTTCAGGGGAGAGCCAAACTCAGGGTGCCCCAGAGGTAGGCAGTCTTAGGGGAGAGCAGTATTATGTCACAGAAAACCCCAGCTCCTCTGCCAAGGTGCCCAGACTAAACACAGATAGGAAGGGTCTAGGTCAGGAATTCTTGGGACAGCCATGGGGTGAGGGTAAGCTGACCTACCTGCACACCCTCCTTGGTCTAGCCTGTACATTTTCTTCAAGAACAACGCCTCCTTTCCCTCCATACCTCCCCAAACTCCCTCCACTCAGAGTGGTCCAGAGATAACGGTTCGCCAATGTATTCCTCAGTGGCTTCCCAGGTCTTTCTCCTACAGTTCTGACTCTCCCATGCTTGTAAAGCCCCAGAGACAAACCCTACACCAATCACCACAGAGGTCTGTGACCACCCCTCTCCCTCACTGCTCCCCATCCTGGCTGGCTATGGGCCACATGACCTCAAGCCCTTCTTAATAATAGTTCAAGGACTGTTGCCCCCAGGTTTTATAGAAAGTCTGAGGCCCAGAGAGGCTGTGAGTTGCTGAAAGGTCACACAGCAGATAAACAGGAAAGCCAATCTTAGGCACTTCCCCAGGGTCTCTCTGCCTCCATCTTGGCAACCGGCTCTACCCTAACCGGCTCTGACGGCTGCCTGAGCCAATTGCCACACTTACCCCTCTGGCTGCACCTCCTCAGCTCCTAGAGGGTCCTCGATGTACCAGCTGCTGTAGTCATCTGTCACCCCGGAGGAGGTCTGGCTTCCATTCTCAGACGCCTGGGACTCCATGCTCCAGCTCTTCTTCCTTGACCCCAGACAAGTGGGGGGTGGGGGAGGCATACAAATGTGAAAAGAGGCTTAAAAGAAAAAAAGAAAGAAACAAACAAACAAAGGAACATTTCTCTTTTTAATCCTAAAGGTTACTTTCTTGCTTTTAGCTCTCTGGGAAAGTCCTCTGGGACTGCAGGTCAAGAGAGAGCTGCAGGAGGGGCGGTGGGGCTGTGTGGGGGCACACAGGAGTCTCCTCTTGAACTTTCCTACCCAATCTTGAGTGGTCTGACAGAGTATTCTGCACCCCTGGAGGTTCAGGCTCGTGCTGGGAGCGCCTAGTGGACCAAATGACCTGTTCCCAGTTGGTTCACTTTCAAAGATTTCTCTTGTGCAAACTGCCCGCAGAGACCCCTTCCTTTCCCGCCCCAAGCCCACCCAGATGGACCCACAGACAGAGTAGAAAGGGGGACCAAGGAGGAAGGAGCCGCAGAGATGAAAGGGTGGGCGGGCTGCGGCCGGCTCCACTTGGTCTGTCCTGCAGCTGGTCTCTCCACCCCTGGGGTCCAGCCCAAGCCCTCCCCTCTTCACCAAGGCTCCCTTGAGACCATCCCCCAGTCTCATTTGCCTCCAGTCAGCCCCTTTACCTTTTCAGCCTCAGTGCTGGGAACACACCATAATTCTTGAGGAACCCCCGAAGATGGATGGCTGCTGAACATGTACATGCCTACCTTCTAGTACCTGCCCCAAGCTCTCCCGCCTAGGCAGAGCCCCTCTTCAGAACCCAGCATTGTGGAATCTTAGGGTAACACCCGACTGGGGCTGGCCACAGAGACAGAGAGGGAACCTAGCCACATGGTCTCCTGAGTATATATGAGGGAGAACACACGTGTTACACCAGTAAAAACCTTTTTGTTCTTACGACTTGATTTCACAAGAAGATAACTCACCCCCACAGGCGGAAATGAGTCCTTCAAACTCAAACCAGACCTGCGAGAAGATGAACTTCGTCTGCTTGCTGCTGCTGTTCTTGTTCCAGCCCCGGTGAAGGGGTGAGGGTTTTCCTATCCTCCCAGAGGAGCTGGACCCCTGGCTGCCCCCTCCCTTCCCTGGCCCAGCCTGTGGGGAGGAGCAAGAGGCAGACAAAGCAGAGAGCTGTTCTCAGCTCGACCCGACTTTCTGAGGCTCTCGATCCTTCAGTACTCCGCAGGGGATTTGGGCCATGGCCTTGTCCAGATAAGCTTTAAAAGCATTTTTATTGCATTTATTTATTTTATGGGTGTGTAGTTTGGGGAGGGGATCAGCACATGCCATGACAGAAGACAACTTACAGAAATTGACCCCCTCTCTCCATCATGTGGGTCCCGGGGAGGACAGAACACAGGTCACTGGTCCCTGGTCGCAAACACCTTTACCCATGGAGCCATCTGACAGGAAACCCCCACCTCCTCATAAAAAGACACTCATCCATTTATCCTTTCAACAGAAACTTACGAATCACCTACTATATGCCAGGCCTGCTCTGGATGCTAGGACTAGAGAGAGCACAGTTCAGAGGACTAACCTACCAACATACATTATATAACCTCCAGAGCCTGGGATTTGCATGGGGGGGGGGTTGTCCTGACCAGTCCCAGAGGAACTGTGTTTGCAAAAGAGCAGTGGGAAGAAGGAGAATTCCTGAGGAAAAATCACCTTTGGGTGGACCTGTGAAGGACACCAGCTGGTCCCTGGACCCAGGCAGCAGAGAGGAGTTTGCTCGTTCACTGTAGAAGGAAGCTCTGGGGTGAACTTCAGAGTGGACAGAGCCTCAGTCTCACAGGTTCCCCGCTGCTCTGCCAGCCAGGCCCATGAGGCCAGATGGGACCTGAGCCCTGTGAGCCTTCACTGTCTCCTTCCCAAACGTTCTATCTTCCAGGAGGAAGGCTCTGCCTTCCTCCCCATCCCACAGAGGAATTGTAAAGATGGAGCTTTCTCAGACACAATTCAGAAGCCTACACTGAACCATCAGATATCAGGGGTCAGGCACATTCTGCCCCTCAGGCTCTCTGGGGACAGGGCCCTACCTTCCCCTGCTTTATTTCTTTCCTTTAGGACTGTGCCTGGCTCCGAGATCACAGAGACTTTAGATCCAGTCTGGCAAAACCACTCCTTGTTTTAATGGTTCTTCTTCACTCCTGGTCCTATGTCATAACGCTGCTACGTGCCAGGCTTGCTGGAGCCCTCTGCTCCAACGCCAGAGCCTAGCATGCCTTTCTCCTCTCAAGGGTCACAGATCCTCAGCACAGAGAGCAATCAACCCGTATCTCAGCCCTGCCTCTCACGATACCTTTAACAAAGAGCTCAGTCCTACTCTGTGGCCATTGCCTGAACAAGACAATGGTTCGATACCTCTATCTGTCAACTTTGTCCTGCCTTAGAGGGGTTCCCTGCCACCTCCCAAACCTTGTCATTCATTCCAGATATCTTATGTGATAGCTCTGTCTCACCTACTGGTGTCATAACCCACACCATGAGGTTTAACATGTAGGGCGATAGGAAGAGACAGTTTGCCATGAACCATCAGAGCTGAAGACAAAATACAGTGGGGGAAGGGAAGGAGAGCGAGCAGGGTAGAGCCAACTATATGCAGTCTAAACCTGAAGGGAGGAGGAAGGGACCCTATCAAGCTACCTGAAGGAGTCCCTCTCCACTCAAAGGTGAACCCATGGAGATAGCTTCTTGCCAAGGCTAGGTATGGTCACTATCCCACCTCCCTGTACCAAGTCTGCTCCACCAGAAGACTTCCTATAAAGCCAGAGATCCCAAAATGTCACCTTCCCTTCCCCTAGGGAGATGCAGCAGCCACCTTGGTGACAGCTCTACCTCCCTGGCAGGGATAAGAAAAATATAAACTTTGTCTTTCTCTGTTCCCATGGACCCAGAAGCAGCACTGGGGCCAGCACCTGGGGCAGAGCAAGGGAAACAGGGCAGGTTCCCACATGGCAGAGGGTAGGAAAATTCAGGGAGAGTCAGACTACCTGTGGTTGAGTGGTGGTTCTGCCCCTGCAGCCTTGAGTGACTCCTTACTCTGGTTGGGTCTTAGCCCCACCTCTGTGGCAACCAGCCTACAGATTCTTCTATTGTGGCTTCTCCCCCAAGACTGTCTTCAGTGACTTCACAGCCCGAGAATGTGGAGGCACCACACCAGACATTGTTGTAGCAAGCATATCAAAGCATATCAAAGCCACAAAAGCCAGGCTGTGGCCATTCAGCACCCTGCCCCGCCCCCGTGCCTTCTATCTACCCTCTGGTTCTTCCATCCACTCTGGTGAGAGCAGGGGGAAGATCCATAGGTAATGAGTAACCATGTGCCTTCATCTGAAGACAAACCCACTTCTTAAGCCCAAGGCTCTTCTTCATCCTGAAATAAGAACAGCATGGTCTTCCCACCTACACACCAGGGGACTAGCTTGGAGAATGATAATAAATTGCCTAGCCACATGGGCAAGCTGGTAAGGAAGAAGATTGGGATCCAGGGATGCTAGGATATGCTCTTGAAGGATTTCTGCAAAGTCCTGGGCAACAGGACCCAGCCTGCTCCTGGGAGCTGGCTCCACGGTAGCACATGTGAGTTCTGCTGTCAGGATGGCATGCTAGAAAGAAGAGACAATTGGAAGAAAGAACTATGGAGATCAGTGGGAAGTGGAAGGCAAAGGAGGGAAAACAATCTTGGGGGCCTTCCTGAGAGAGGTGATATGGAACAGGGCCCTGAGATCAGAGAGGTCAAACGAGGCATGGTCACAAGAACGAAGCAACTTAGGAAGCTGAGAGACCAGGGGAGGCAAAAAGTCCAGCGCACCAGGGATGGCAGAACCGCCATCACACTCCAGCCTGTGTGAGCTCTGGTGACAAAGTGCAAGACCTCAGCTAGCGAAGGCCCTGGGACATCTGGGCTTGGTAGAGAGAAACCTTGGAATGGAGCTGGTCCTTAAAGGTTCTGGGATAAGGCTTCCTTCCTCTTGATGTTTTTGTTCAAGTTGATTAAACCTGAGGAATGTTTGTGTCCAGGAACAGAGGCCCACGTGGGTGCTGTGGTTATCAAAATCTTCAAAGGGCAAAGTGTTCCTCTCAGGAGAAGCCAACTGCAATCTGCAAGGAATGTGGGCAGCAGCACCCCAGGACCCAAAAAGCACCCCCAGAACTCTAAGGCACTGACAGATCCAGTAATATCTCCTACACGTCAGCAATTCCACAAGAACCCCCAGAATACCAGTGACTCTCCTGGTCCCCTCAGAACCTCACAAGCACACAAACTCACTTTAAAAACCTCCAGACTTCAGCCTGGGGAGATAGGAAGAAGGAAGGTCCAAATCCCAGTGAGTGGCCTTAGCCCACAGATCCCCCATCACCCTCTAATGTCCTATCCCAGCCTGTGCTCCAAACCCAGCAACATACCCTGAGTCCCAGAGCACCAAATCTCAGCTACATCCCAATCCCACAGAAAGATACAGGACCCGGTGGGTGCTTCAGTCTACCCAGGAGCTGGGTGATGGCTCCCCCAGAGATCATGTAGGTAAGCAGAACGTCTTCTGTAGCCCCAAGAAGGCAGGGGATTGGGAGTCTGCCCACCTGTACATCACACACAGACACACACACACACACACACACACACACACACACACATCGATGCTAGCACACCCAGCACATACAGGAGCCAAACTATCTTGGCCCCAAACAGTGGGGCTGGGAAGCAACCTGTTGACTGCCAAGCTTGAGAGAAAGCAAGTGTGGGTGTTCTTTATCTCTCTTTTCCTTTGCCAAACAGGAGGGTCAGAGCATCATGGGATGCTTCCCTGGAGTTCTATGCTTCCTTGCCTATAGCACCATGTGCTGGGCTGATGAGGCAGAGCAGGGTAGCTGACTGTTCCAGGGGAGGGGCATGCTCTTCCTCTCCCAGAGGAGTGGGTTGGGAGAGATGACAGACGCTCAACTTCTGCTCAGGGCAGAGGTAACATTCTTAGTGTCATGGAGTGACGGGTCTCCCTTCTGGTGAGGCACTGCTGGGATTCAGATCTGGAGTGCCACCAACTCCTTGAAGGTTGTGGGGCTTTAAGGGCCTTGAGGCCTCCTTTCCCTTATGTCCTCCCTGGTGGTACCACCACGGTGAGGTCTTGTGCTGACTGCTCAAAGATCTCCTGCCTAGCCCAGGGCAGGGCTTTCTATCCATCTGGACCTGGTGTGACATTCTGTAACATTCTCGTATGTTTTTTCAAGCTCCCACTCACTTCCCAGTCCCCTGCCATGCTCATGGTTGCAATCTGGTCCCTCCGAATAGTCCCACTCCCTGCTCCCACCCCTTCAGGCCTCCACAGTTTGGCTCTGGGTCACAGTCCTACCTAGCTTTCCAGGTTGGCTCCAGCCCACTTCACCTTGAGAGCTTCCTTGACTTCCCCTTCTGGACCTCTTCCACTTCCTTGACCGATCTGGGGAGACGCAGCAGGGTGCTCCTGACCAACTAGTCTTCTCTTCCGAGTCTCAGCCTGTTAGAGCTGGGATCCCGGAGGCTGGCTGCTTGTGAGGCCACAGTAGTTGTCCTGAGCAGGGTCCCCACACCTGCTTTAAGAGCCACGGTTTGATCTCCTGGAAAGCAGTCCCCTCTCAGCCCTAGACCTCTGGGATCAGCAGGGGTCTACCCTCTTGTGTCTGCTCAGCTCTGTGCCCCTGAGCTGCTGGGGCCCCTTCACAACAGGACAGGAGCAGGTCTCTCCGCCCCTAAACCATTTGTGGAAACTTGATCCCCCTGGCCCTCAGAATCACCCCCACCGGAGAAGCCAGGGCTTTGATGGCTGAGTTTCCTCAGCTGTGGCCAAGGGTAGCTCAGGAACCCCCCCTTACCTACCCTCATTTGTCACTATCCATCACTCCCAGGAGGCCATCGCCTGATGAATTGTACTGAGCCCAGCCACCAGCTCGGCTTTTAATAACTGATCAGCGTCCTGCTGTTGCCCAGCTGTGCTGAGGACTCTGACCAAGGGGTAGG